GTACAAAAGAAAGAATAAAGATCTGTCTAATAAAAGGAGTAATTTGAAAATACCTCTTCAAAATATGTGGTAATCTTTTTAGATGAAAAGGGCAATACAACTGTAAGATTGAACATAAGGTAAGATTAACGTTTGATTGATTTACAAATAGACTTTTAGTATTTCTTTCCTACTAGTTGAGCTATTGATGTCCAAAGATGTGACCTGGTCTATTCCAGAATTGGTTAAAAGGATGAAGAGCTGTTCAAAGGAAGCCAAGCACTGGGTTAGGAAGTATTTGTATAGTATTTTAGTAGTATAGTATTACCAGAGGCCTGGTGCACGGATTCATGCACTGGTGGGGTCCCTTGGCCTGGCCTGCCCCCTCTCATAATCCAGGACCCCTCGGGGGATGTCGGAGAGCCAGTTTTGGCCCAATCTCCACAGGCCAGGCTGAGGGACCCCACCAGTGCACGAATCTGTACACTGGGCCTTTAGTATACATAGAAGATCATTGGTTAATCTTTTTCCACCCTTCCCCTCACCCTTTCCCTCTGAAATTCATCAGTCTGTTCCATGTTTCCATGCCTGTGCATTGAGCGTCTGCCCCCTGGTGGTCAGTGTGTGTCATAGTTACTGGTCGAATGGTCAAAAGGTCGCTTAGACTTTTATATGTATAGATAGTAAAGTATTGTAGACACATACACTAGAAAACAATATAACTCAGCATTTAATTGGTGTTGGGCTGCATTAAATATTGGCCTTTAATTGCCAAAGAATTTTCATAAAAAGGGAAGGAGGTAATTCTACAAAGTAGAGTAGTGAGTCTGATCTCAAACCTGTGTGAGCAGTTAGAGAAATCAGTGATACCCAAGAGTTGGTGATAATCTTCAGTCCAACCTCCTACATTCAAAGGCTGATGGTGGTAATTGAGGTGGGAGTGTTGGAGGATTGGGATGCTAACACACAGTAGATTTGAAACACAGGCTACATGTAAATTCATTGGCAGTGGGTGAATAGGCACTTTGATGGTCTAACTCTGAGGATCTAAGTTTAAAAATATACACAAGAAAGTGTTTTTAGATAGGCAACTGTAGAACTCCATTATTCTCTATAGTATGGAATTACCTTATTATGCATATTCTCATTTTCTAACGTCCTTTCCAAAATAGCACAGAACTTAGTAACCCAATACCTACATCGCTATCCCACCTACCTAGTGAATTACACTGAGTTGGCTTTCTTACTCATTTTTCTTTCTTTCAGAACCATTTTTAGGTATCACATACCTCCTTCCTGATTAGCATACTACAGTACAGTGATTTTTAAATGTGTAAACTTGAAGGCTCATTAAATCATAGATTGCTGCAGTTGCTGATTCAGAAGATCTGGGATGGCCCACCCAAATTTGAATTTCTAATAAGGTCCTAAGATAATGCTGGTCTGAGACCACTCTTGAGACTAGTCCATCTCCATTCTCCCAAGGAGTACATGGCAAAAGAGGTAAGCCCAATAAGGAGTCTTCATGATTACTGTTAATCAAGTTTGTCTCTGGTTTGGTAAATAGGCTTAAGCAGACTTCTAAAGTAAAAGAAAATGTCTTGCAGGCACCCTGCCACCTCTTTCAGTGGTCTTTTGCTTTTTCCCTGGACCTTTATTACAGCCTCTTCCCATCCCTAATATGCTCCTGTGTTGGTTTGATCATCCTTAGCAGAGAAAATATTGATCTCAAAGTTCAATATTCAATGGTATTTAATATGGGATTCTTCCTGGGAGAATTTAAAAGATAAGAACAATATATGAACCCAAAAAGGCAAGTTACCTGCACTGTAGTTTCAAATACTAGTAAAGGGAATGATTCCTCCACCTATATGAATGCATATAATAGTTTATATATATCCTATCTAATAAAAGACAAAAAGGGTAATTAACCGTACCTCCACTACGCTTCCCATTGGCTAATCAGGGCGATATGCAAATTAACTGCCAACAAAGATGGCAGCCAGCAGCCACGAAGCTGAAGCGAGCAGGAGGCTTGCTTGCGCCAGTGATGGAGGAAGCCAAGGTTCCCCGCCTGCCGCGGCCCAGCTCTGAGCTCCGAAAGCAACAGAGTTTCAATTATAGAAGCTAAACAAACCCCAGATACCTGCTTTCAGC